CGTAGTGCACACTGGGCAACGTATATTCATACGGCAAAAAATTCTCTACAAACCGACAGCTGACTTCCCACTTCAATCTACCACGGCCCGACTGTATGTCATATTCGACCACTTACACGCACTCACCTTACCTTTTCTCTACTTTTTTGCCTGTCTCCTTTACATCTGTGAAGCTCTCTCCTATTCGCCACCTAATTCCTCTTCCTCCTCGACTTTATAACTTTGATGCACAAGTACCAAACTCATTTTACCTCATTGTGGACCAAAAACCCTAGCCACGTATCTACGCACGTAATTCGACTTCACATTTTGTCAAATTTGGCTTCAAAAGATCGATTAATCATCTAAGGGAATTCCCTCTCACTAGATTTAGACAATGTTCCTAGAGAAAAAAGTATTTAGAAGTCGAGATTTGAGAACAGCATGCGAAGAAGCGCGACTATTAAAATAGCTGTGGCACGGGAAGGCGCGGAATGAAGCACTTTTGTGAAGGCCTGCAATTATTCTTCAAATAACCAATGGACAACTTCCAAAATCAATAATCTGCACGATGGCAATATTTACGATGCGAAGATCGGACACATGTTCAATTGATCACGAACAACTCACGCCAAGAGGATTTGCCATATCAAATTGTGAAAAACATCGTATTTTTTGTGTCCAATAACCCACGGCTCTCGAACCCCCGAAAATCCTGTTTTTCCCCGGTGGCAGAAAAGACCAAGGAATCTACGGCATTCCCCTCAAGCCTATTTTCGTTTGATTTATGGAGGCTGTCTGATCAGCGTGTTCAGAGATCATCTTGGTTAAGTTTAAGAGATTTTATTTATTATATCCAGTAATCCACCAAAACATGTTGATACTGAGGACTTGGAAGCACACGATGCTAAACTGGCACGCAAACGAGCAAATGCACACAGTGTACTAAAGAGAGGATAACCAAGCCGAGACAACCATTCACGCCATTTCCAATGCTGCTATAAACAGAGGTAGCCATTGAGGGAAGATGGTTGCTTCCACTCAAAATTCCTCGTCCAATTTTCTTACTCCCATAGGCCATTCATACCTTTTCACTCTGCCGTCTTATATATGTAAGCAGGGGGTGTGCGATAGACTTACCACCACGTGGTGCACCCTGGACAACGTATACTCATACGGCAAAAAAGTCTATTACCTGGTGCACCCTGGGCAACGTATACTCATACGGCAAACAAACTGGTGCACCCTGGGCAACGTATACACGGCAAAAGAGTCCGTGGTGCACCCTGGGCAACGTACACTCACACCTTACCTCCACGTGGTGCACCCTGGGCAACGTATTCTCATTCGGCTACCTCCACGTGGTGCACCCTGGGCAATGTATACTCATACACCTCCACGTGGTGCACCCTGGGCAACGTATACTCACGATAGACTTACCTCCAGGTGGTGCACCCTGGACAACGTATACTCAAACGGCACGTGGTGCACCCTGGGCAACGTATACTCATACGGCTCCACGTGGTGCACCCTGGGCAACGTTTACTCATACGGCTCCACGTGGTGCACCCTGGGCAACGTATACTCATAAGGCACCACGTGGTGCACCCTGGGCAACGTGTACTCATACGGCAAGTAAGTCTATCACGTGGTGCACCCTGGGCAACGTATACTCATACGGCAAACAAACTGGTGCACCCTGGGCAACGTATACACGGCAAAAGAGTCCGTGGTGCACCCTGGGCAACGTACACTCACACCTTACCTCCACGTGGTGCACCCTGGGCAACGTATTCTCATTCGGCTTACCTCCGTGGTGCACCCTGGGCAATGTATATTTAGACTTACCTCCACGTGGTGCACCCTGGGCACCGTATACTCATACGGCAAAAAAGTCTATTAACCGGCAGTTGTTGCGATAGACTTACCTCCACGCGGTGCACCCTGGGCAACCCACTCATACGGCAAAAAAGTCTATTAACCGGCAGTTGACTTATCACTTCTCATACGGCAAAAAAGTCTATTACCTGGCAGTTGACTTCTGATTTCAAGCTACCATGACTCCACTGTATGTCATATTTAACTATTTCACAGTACTCACCTCACCCTTTTTCTTCCTTTTCTACCCTCGTCTTTGAAACACTCTTCTGTCCCACCCCCTCTCTGGACTTTTTCACTTTGATGCTCCTTCCCCTCTGTGAAGCCTGAAGTCAACTAAAGAGCTAATGATAACTATCAAAACGCCTGCCATTTGATATAATAATAATAATAATAATGTTAGAGTATTTGATATAAATAAATATATGTAAGCAGTCCTGCTTTGTTTACAGTCATTTAAAATTAGCTCTGATCAGTGCAGTTAATAGGATTAAGAGAAAGTGGAAAACGAAGGAGTACAATTGAATTACACCAAAAGTGAGCAAGAGATTGGGAACTTTAATGAAATTAGTGGATGAAAATGCTAATGAGCATCCCTCAAAGCTGGGAAGCATAGCGAACTGACCAAAATTTGGCCAATTATACACAAAATTATACAGAAGATAAAATTGGCGGCCAATAGTAAACCCTGGAATAGCTATTCTTCTTAATCTCTTAACGGATATGAAATGGTTCACGAAATACAAGCCTGTGGTATAGCATTAACACTTAAAACAAGCTCCAACCGAACCTTGCAACTTCCAAAGTGAAACTTTCTGAATGCATCGAGGATAGAGCCAACTATGCTTAACTTGAGCTGAGGGAAAGTGTACCTTGACAACATTCTTATTAGGAGAACACATTCTGTCTCCAAGTTTTATTTCCTAAGACTGGCAGTGAAGTGGATCGGGGGTGAGTGGTAGCCATCTCAAGCTCCCAATTAACGACAGAATGTCATAGTCAGACGTATGAAACATTACTTGAATGCCAGAACAGAACACAAACTTCATAAACGCAAGGGAAGAATCTACACACCTCATAATTGACAACTTCGAGTTTCAGCCTTCTTTCGTTCCAGCAAACTCCCTATTAAAAGTTACGCACAGCACAAGAGCAGCTGATTAATGACACATGATCAACTCGTTTCAAAATAGGCAAACCCTTAAAACAGACACGAATTTTTTGTCACGAAAACTCACCAGGATACTCTGGGAAGCAGACAGTGAGAGGCGAGCGTTTGATTTTCTCAGCAAAGAGATCCTTCTTGTTGAGGAAGAGAATGATGCTGGTGTCGGTGAACCACTTGTTATTGCAAATGGAATCGAAGAGTTTGAGGGACTCCTGCATTCGATTGGTGGTCTCATCCTCGTGAAGTACCTGGTCATATTCACTCATGGCGACGCAGAAAATGATCGCTGTCACATCCTCGAAACAGTGAATCCACTTCTTTCGCTCCGAGCGCTGACCACCCACGTCAAAGAGCCTTGGAAATCATGAAATTGGGCA